ACCAAAGCCCGAAGTGGAAGCTGAAGGGACTAAGAAGGAAGAAATGGGTTCATTTTTCAAGTCTGAAAGAGCATACAAGGAAGGAAACTTGTCTTTCAGAGGAGAATCCCCGACCCAAAGATGTTCCCAGAAATTTATTCGGTTATCAGAGTTTAGACCATACCTAATCCAAGGGGAGAAAACTGGAAGTAGATTGTGGATGGATTTCCAAGGAGAAGCAGCTGAAGCCCTTGCCAAGATTCCAAGATCCCAGCCATTATCTTCTAGCCCATGAATGCTAGCCACAATCTTAGTTCACAATTTATCCCTTTCCAAAGAGAACCTCCACAACCACTTCCCTAGAAGAGCCATGTTCCTTTTCTTGAAATTACCAATCCCAAGATCTCCTTGTGTTTTACACCTAGAGACCACCTCCCAACTCACCCTATGACCTCTCTTCTCCTCTCCAGGCTCCTAGAGAAAGTTCCTTCTTAATTTTTCCAAAAGATTTGAAACCTTTGAGAGGATCTTAAACACTAACAAAAAGTAAACATGAAGGTTGGCTAGGGTAGATCTAATGAGAGAGACTCTTCCACCTAAAGAAAGATAACTCCTCTTCYAGGCCGCTAGCCTCTTCTCAAACCTCTCCACTACCGGAGCCCAAAAGCTAACACTCTTAGGATTATCTCCTAAAGGGAGGCCCAAATAAGTCAGGGACCAAACCGTAATAGCACAACCTAGCTCGTTTGCAAATTCCCTTAGATTTCTTTCGTTCACATGCACTCCCGCCACACAACTCTTGTCAAAGTTTACCTTTAGGTTAGATATCTGCTCAAAAAGTTGAATTGTCAGCTTTAGATTCCGGATCCAACTAAGGTTCCCTCCTTCACAGAAAATGATAGTATTATCTGCAAATTGTAGAAGAGTCAAGGGAACCTCCTCCCTTCCTACTCTCCACCCTCTTATCAGATTCCTCGAGTCTGCTCTATGGATTAATCGCCCAAACATATCAACAATAAGGGTGAAAAGAAAAGGGGAAAGAGGATCTCCTTGTCTTAGACCTCTCAACGCCAGAAAGAAGTCAACCACAGTTCCGTTCACCAGGATAGAATAATGGAAAGTCCTAACACAGCCCCAGATCCACTTGCACCACCTGTCACCAAAACCAAAACTCCTTAACACCTCCATCAAGAAAGACCAATCAACTAAGTCGAAAGCCTTTTCCAAATCCAATTTGCAGACCACTCCCTTCTTCTTTGACTTTCTAAAGCTCTCCAAGCTCTCATTTGCAATGAGGATCTGATCGGTGATTTGTCTTCCCTCTACAAAAACACTTTGGTTGGGTGCAATAATAGAGGGGAGCACCTTCTTTATCCTGAGAGACAACACCTTTGCA